GCGGGCTCTACGGGAGTAGCGGGCGCCCGTCCCGGCTGTGGCCGCGAGGCTGCGCCGTGCCCCGAAAGCCGCAGGGGCTCCGCGATCCGCGCCCCGGCTTGGAGCCCGCCGTGCCCGTCCGCGGGGACCGGGAGGTGACGAGGCGAGGAAGGGCCGAGCTCGGGCCAAGCGCCGCCACGTGCCCGGGAGGTGCCCGCGATGGCCCATTTGGTCCTGTGAGGGAGCCGGCACCGGAGCGGCCGGGTGTGGGGTCACTCTCGGGCATCGCCCGTCCTGCCCGCGAACGGAGCCTCCGCCTGGGGGAGAGCGGAGAGAGCCCGACGGGAGCAGAGGAGCGCGCGGAGCATCCGCGTGCGCAAGCTCGGAGGGGGAGATGCGGGATACAGGGAGCCAGGATGGGGACTCGGATGCCTTCTGCTCCCTTCCATATGAGCGCAGCTCGGTCGTGTTCCTCCTTCGCCTCCCCGTGCAGCGCAGACCTCCTGCTTCCTCCCAAGCCGAGCGGAGGGGAAGCAAAATGCTCCTGGAGAAACAGGCTCTGGCAGCTCCAGCCAGGTCCCTTATGTCCCCTCTGCTCCCTGCTTTCACTTGGAGCAAGGAGCCAGGTGCAAACGTGCCCTTCCCTTTGGGAGAGGTAGAGCTGCTGGTGGCCTCGGGGGCCGGGCGCTGCTCCCCGGCGCTGCGTGCGCTCGGGATTAGATAGAACATTTCCTCCTTGGCCTCCAAACCCCTGCGGCTCGCGAGAGGGAGGCCTTGCTGCGGAGGCCCGGGACTTGCCCTTGCTTGGGAGCCCAGGGATGCCCTCAGCTCTTCGGGGATGTGCTTGGGCAGCCCACGGCTGCCGCTGGGGGCACCCCGTCCTCGCCGCTCCCGCCGTGCCGGCCGCACTCTGAGGAGCTGCGTTTTGCGCCAGCACCAAAGCCGCCGTGTTTCAACCAGCCCTGCAGGGCGCTACGAGCTGGGGCGTTTGGGTGAGCAGGATCCCTCGGAGCCAGGCTCTGACAGCTCCAAATCCACCAGAAAAACTTGCCTGCTTGTCCTTTGGCAGGAGCTCTTGGCCGTGGTCCAGCCCCAGGGGTGTGCAGATGTGTCGCATCTTTTGGGATCTACCCTGAGATGTCCCTTCCTCCCCAGGTCCATGGTGACAGGAGGAGGAGCTGGTGGGTTTTACACCCAGGGCTGGCAGCTACATCTGTTTTCAGAGGCCCTCTCCTAATTCCCTCGAAGGCCGGGGTCAGCCCTAAGCCCAATTTTTGCCCATGGACTGTATTTTCCAAGCTCTTCCATTGCTGTCCATGGGGACGCAGATGTGCCCAGGAGCAGCCGCCCTCCGGGCACGCAGGCAGCAAACCCGAGCCAAATGGGGTGAGAGTTTGAAAGATGCTGCCCGTTTGGGGAAAAAACCTTCCAAAAGAAACCGTGTCCGCGGTCGCTGCTCGTGCCTCCTTGCCAGCACGTAGCTCATCGCGAGTCGAGCTGGTCCTGGCAGCTATGGGATGAGTTTGTTGGTTTGTTGCAGCACTTGAGCCCTGCAAAATTGTGGGGAAAAATAAAAGGCAAGTGAAGCAGATTTGAGCCGCTGCCGGAGGGCTGCGGCTTCCTGTGCCGCTGGGACGGGGGAGCGGATTCCCCTGGGATTTGGCCCCTGGCCCTCGTGGCACTCGGTGCCTATCACAGTAGTTTTCCCCGCTTGCTTCGGGGTGAAGGAGACAGATAAATCCCTCGGCGTGGGCTGGAGGAGGAGGCCCGGGAAGCGCCGCGGTGCCCGGGGCCGTTTGAGCCTCTGTTGACTTTGAGGCCCGACTGAGACTCAGGGCTGCATCGCTCCCAGTTGCAAATTCCTGCCCGGGTGACTGCAGCCCCGGGGGCTGGACAGACGGACTCAGCATCCGTGTTGGTATTGCTCTGCCGGCGGGATAATTGGATTAAGCCGTGGGATTAGGGCCTCAGCAGCGGTATGCCGGGAGTCAGCAGGACCCACCGAGGCAGGGCAGGAGGGGAAGGGAGCTGGGGAAGGAGGAGGCTCTTTCCCCCGCGGGCGCCGGCGCTTGGTGCTCCGGCGGTGCCGCCGCGGAAGCGCCGCGGGGCTTGGCGCGCTCCCGGCAGGGTCAGCCGCGCCGCCAC